TTATGTGCGAATTATTTGATGTTGCCTGAAATACGTGTTAAAGAACATACCTGATAATATATGATGATTTTGGATAAAGAGTTAACCTAAATTAATTATGAGGAATATTGGGTAGTATCTTCTTATGAGTACGAGTGAGATATACATGGAGAATAGAACTTTAAAATATGTCATTAATCCGAGAGCATGGATTAGACATGGTCATTTGTCCTTAGTCTGAGAGTATGGATAGGACATAGTTATTTGTCATTAATCTTGGAGTATGGATTAAGACATAGTCAGTTGTCCTTAGTCCGAGAGTATGGATAGGACATAGTTATTCGTCAGTGATCCAGGAGTATGGATTTAGACATAGACAATTGTCCCTAGTTCGAGAGTATGGAATGGTCATAATTATTGATCAGAGAGCATGGATTAGATCCGGGAGTATGGATTAAGTAAATAGGTAAATTTTAAGGTCCGAGAGTATGGATAGTGTCGTTGTGAGGATTGACGGGGTGGGTTAAGAGTTGCTTATATATGGTGAAATTGTATATTTTGTGAGTTCAAAATTATATATATGATATAACATTGTGGGATTGAAATCCCTATGTACTCACCAGGTTTCCCAACCTGACCCACTCAGTTTATTTGTATCACAGGCGTCAATATGAAGTTACATTACACTGAGAGATTGAGGAGATGTAAATCACTAGTGTGAATGAATGTAAGGTCTGTTTATGCTTATGTTTCTATATTGATGATGACATCCCAATGTATTAAAATGAATAAAATACATTTCTTCGGAAATGCTTTGATAACGTATTTATCATGGTTTTTTGGGAACAAATTCCACAACATATTTTTTTAAAAGATACTCTGATTTTCAAAATAAAGCATAAACAAATCGGTCTTTTCTGGCCGTGAAAATGGGGATGTCACAACCGCATAGGCTCCGAATGGACCTGGGAGCCGGAGGACGAGATGAGAAAGCATTATCCTGAGCTTTTCGCATCGGTAGACTTCGATGACGAAGTCTAGTTCAAGTGGGGGAGATTTGTAACGCTTGGTTTAGGTGTGAGCTTATTCTTCAAATTGTTTGTGTTTTCCGTTGGGACTTGGCGAGTTGGAAGCTCCAACTCGGCGTTTCGAGAGGGCAGTGGCCGTGAAAGTTAATGAACCAACTCGGTGAGTTGAGGTGCTTCAACTCGGCGAGTTGGCGGCTGGGAAAGAAACCCTAATTTGTAGGGTGTTGCACCCTATTTAAAGGCCTTATGTCCCCTGAATGGCCTCCTTACCAGCCTCCTCTGTCCAAAAAACCCTAATAACATGCATCATCTTATTTTGTGAGTGTGAGAGATGTGGAGGGCCTTGAGTGTTGATCTTTTGTGCTCTTTTGAAGAAGTTTTGAAGTTGGAGGTGTAAAGCTTGGAGGGAAGACTTAGATCCAGAATCTCCCTACTTGTTGCAGTCTTTTGTAGGTATCAAGTTTATACCTTGCTTTGTTATCGTTAGATCTCTTTGTTTTAAGGTTTTATCTTGATTGTGGGCTCATGGGTGGATTGTCCAAGAAGTTGAGTGTTCCAGGGGTTGTTATGTGAGATCTGACCATTTTATGACCCCTTTGACTTAAAGTTGCAAGCTTTACTAAGTTCTAGGTCCCATTTATGAAATAAGTTCCTTTTTGCCCATCTTGAGCCCTAGGGTTTCTTTTTGGCATGCATGGACGTAAAGTTGGAAACTTTACGTGATTTTCCAGCCTTTGGATGCCAGATCTGTATTTTGGGACTATGTTTTGAGAGTTTATGGGCTTAATGGGTCAAGCCTCACTCTAATGAGTCTAGGGTTTGGTTTGACTCATTTTGGATGGTTCCTAAGGGTAAAGTAGGAAACTTTACCCTTCCATACATTATTTCGGAGGAGATCTGAGACTTGGAGTTCCTAGATTCCAGGGAAACAGCTTAATGCATTAAGCTGTTGGATTTCTGGCTAACTCGGCGAGTTCATTAGTGAACTCGACGAGTTGATGAGAGTTTTCCTGGTCTATGCAGTTAATGGAGAAACTCGACGAGTTGAAGGTCAACTCGGCGAGTTGGGTCAACTCGGACCGTTGACTTTGAACTTTGACTTTAGTCTTTGACCAAGTTTGACTTATAAGGGGTTTTAGGGCATTTGGAGTTGTATTTAAGGAAATGTTTCTTTTTAGGGGTTGAGTAGAGCTGATATTCGGAGCCGGGACCTAGTCAACTATCGTTCAGTATTCAAGGTGAGTCTTCTCACTACACTCATGGGTCGAAGGCATCAAGGCCGCCCCATTAATTGTTATGTGACGATTGTTAGTGGAATATGGAATTATTTGCTATTTGATCTAAATGTGGACTTTTATGTAGATCATGGGAGGAGCCCACGACATTTGGAAAGACCATGGAGGGAGCCCATGACCCGGAGATATAGAGAGTCATTCTTTTGATCATGGTTTTTACAAAAAAAGATCTTTACTACAATTTAAAGGTAAATATCGATTTCCCACTTTGATTGGTGTTCTTGGAAATTAAATTTTAAACTTTATTTTTGATGATGTGTTTTTGAATCTGTTGATTATGTTATTTAGCTTTTAATGGCTTGAATTTAATTTTAGACGTCGAAGCATTATTAATTTTATAATTTCAAATGCATGAGTTTTATTAAACAAGCCGTAAAACATTTTGCATATAGGGGTAAATTGGTTTATGCATTGAGTTTTACCCAAAGTTTTAAATAACTAAAGACGTGACTTAGCGACAATGTCAAGTTTCAAGTTTTTCCGAGCCTTGGTGAGCCACGACATTTGTAAGGCGTGACTTAAGGCGGCAATTTTGTATATAATTAATATTTTTATATGTATTTTCAACTATTATTCATTTTTATACACATATATGAGTTAAAGCGGCGTTTTGGTAAAGCTTAGCGGCAGGTGCAAGCCTTGAAGTCATGGCGCGCCATGGCGGAGCCATGACGGGCTTTTTAGAACCTTGGTTTTACCTAATTGAACCTTGTGATTAGCCATCCTTGTTATCGGTGATTTTAATAGGGGGTTTGCTTTGCATAAGCTTTTGTTATGATTAAAATAAAAACCCTTTTTTATTTGAGTTAAAGAAACCCATTTTGATTTTTGTTATGATTAAAATACCAACCCTCTTTTTTATTTGAGTTAAAGAAACCTATTTTGATTTGGGGTTTTGTCATTTTCTTGTTTTTCTTATTTTTTTGATTTAGCGTATTATTA